TCCCCCGAAAAAAAGGCAGTGCTTTCTCTTAAGGCTATTAAAAAATGATGCAGAATTTTAACCATCTCCTGGACCGGGTACTCCTCGCTGGTGCTGCAAAGCTGTGGTTTTGTATAGGGGAGAAATTGCAACGCTTTCCAAATAGATTTGATTGAATTTTTATTTTTTTTTTAAAGCGTTTAAATATCTCAGGCAACGGCGTCTTTAAAGAACGATTCCTTATTTGCGTTGAAAATTGAGAAATTGGGTATGAACAGAACTGAAACGTTTGTAGCCTGCTGTGATTGGGGGTTTTTTGGCTAGAAGGGACACAGGTGTCGTGCTGCAGCTCGGCCTGCCACTGCTTTAGAAATGTCATGGGAGCAATATAAGATTCAAGAAAAGGCCAGTGATAAAAGCTGATAATTTTTGTAGCCTTGTGGGTTTTTCTTTAATTTTATTTTTTTCTGTGGAAGTGTGCGAGATGCAGCTGAACGCAGCTATTTCTTGCACTCGACCAGCTGCGTGTGTACGTAGGGGAGTAAAATTATTTAATGAGCAGCATGGAGACTGGGAAAGGAATTGTCTCGCTGATACGGCCTCCTGAACTATAGTAATATAGCCAGTGTACAAAGGAAAAGTATTCCTAAATAATAATAGATGGGAAAAATGCTTTAGGAGTGGTGAAGCATAAAGGAGAAAATAGAAGGAGCCTTTAATGTGGTATTCTTACTTCTCATAAATTAGATTAACTGTTTAAGCGCCACGAACAGCAAATGAAATATTTCAGATATTCATAAATCAGAATATAATGGTCGTCTGGAGTAAGAGCTAAGAAAATTGGAGGTTATTGCCTCATAATTCATCGATGTATTTAAGATCAATTAGCAAGGTATTGGAAAAAGATTGCAGTGAAGTATTGAAGGCATGCAGTTCCTTCGAAAATGCAGTTTGGGTTTTCTCTTTTAAGATCTGTCAATACTAGATTGTTACTTAACGCCACCGGTGGTTATTTGTAAGTGGGAGGGCTGTATTTTCTTTGAATGAAACATCTGCAATCTACAAATGAATGTCAAGAGAGGCGTTTACTTTCTGAAACCAGTGTAGAGGCCCAGTTGAACCTCTTCATTCAATTTTAATTAAGAAAAAGGAAAAAAGATGTCTTGTATATGTAGATGTCTTGTAGACGAAGTAAATTTTCTTATTTTTAAAGCTGAAGTTTGGGGGCTGTATTTTGTCACCTGTTGCCTGCCAC